GCATCCTGCCCTCTGGGGCATCCTGCCCTCTGGGGCAGAGCACGGGGGAGTCCATGGCCACAGGGGAGGTGGGAGGAGCAGAAAAGGTGGTGGGGAGGAAGGGAATGGGCTTGGAGTAGAAGTCAAGGCTTGGAAATATGGAGGTTTTTTGTTGGGAGCCTCCAGGGCGTTGAGAAGAGGGAAGGATTCCACCCCTGACCCCCAACTTCCCTTGTTTTCGTTCCCTCGTGGGAATATCTGCCCTGTTCACCTCCACTCTCCCTCCCAGAGGTGATTTAGGGTGATGCTGACCCTGCCTGAGGTCCTGCAGCACCCCGAGACCCACCACGCTCCCCAGGAGACACGGTCACCCTGACTCAACGTGGTCAGCCCCAGAAATTGCTTCTTCCTACAGCCACCGTGGCCACAGCTCTGCAGGGAGTGTTGGAAGCACCCCAGCATCTCCCCAGGACCCCCACCCAGCCAAGAGCATCACCCTGAGATCTTCTAGGACAACCCCAAAGTCTCCTCCCCATCCTGAGATCTTCTAGGACAACCCCAAACTCTCCTCTCCATCCTGAGATCTTCTAGCACAACCTCAAACTCTTCCTTCCCATCCTGAGATCTTCTAGGACAACCCCAAACTCTCCTCCCCATCCTGAGATCTTCTAGCACAACCTCAAACTCTCTCCTCCCCATCCTGAGATCTTCTAGGACAACCTCAAACTCTCTCCTCCCCATCCTGAGATCTTCTAGGACAACCTCAAACTCTCCTCTCCATCCTGAGATCTTCTAGGACACCCCCAAACTTTCTCCCCCCCCCTGTACCTCGATATTTCATCAGCATCTCTCTGAGGGCAGCATTTTTCTGAGGAGGATCAGTGGATTTCTCTCCCACCTCGGGTGATGTCTCCGCTGGCTTCTGGGCGTTGTCCTTCTCCAGCCTGGGAGGAAGAAAAGACCTTGCCAACGAGACTGCCCTCGTTTGGGATTCTCCTCAGACCCTGACCCCTTTCCAACAGGGATTTCTCATCAAGGAATAGGTACTAGAGTGAAGACTTGATCCAAGGAAGGGTTTGGTGACCCAAAATACGTCTCGTGTGCTCCCAGCCACCAGGAAGGGGCCCTGGATGGGGGAGGGGACCAGGAGCCCTCGACGTGGAGAGAAATGAGGAGTAAAAAATGCCTTTTCTTGCCCATTTCTGCCTTTCCCACCTCACTCCATGGCCATGAAGAAGCCTCCTGCAGGGGTGGAAGTTCATCCTAAGCCCCCTTCCACCTCGGTGCCCTCCTTGACATTCCAATATCTGCAGGTTTTTAGCTGCTGCTTGGATGGTTTTGAGGAGCTCACAAGGGGCAGAGGGTCCAAGCCCTCCAGGGACAGGGAGTTTTGGGTGGACTAGAGAGAAGAAGAAGCTGCAGGAGAGCTGGAGGGACCATCATCCCACCCGATACCTGTCCCTGGTCTTCAGCATCCTACTGGGGACTTTGGTGGCATCCTTGGGGCTTTTGTGGTGTCCTATGTGTCTATGCAGCCCCTGAGCACGGAGGGGCCATAAGTACCTGAGGTTTTGGGGTCCACCAGGGTCACCACAGTCAAGATAAACAACATGACCAGGAGAGGAACGTGTGAGAGGAGCCACCAACCTGCTCAGGATGTCTCTGCTGCCCTGCAAGGGGAAGATGAGAGGAGAAGCATCAGGTCAGAGCAGAGACAACCAGCAGCTACCATGGGGTTGACCTCGGGCAACTCCAGGCCCTGCTCTGTCTAAATTATGGGTCTAAACTGAGCCCCTTGAAGCTGATCCACCTGCTTCCCATGCTTGAAGATCTGCTGGGGGTTTGGGTGAGGTCATGGCAAGTCCACCTCATGGGCAGCCCCTTATCTGCCGTCACCCACCACCTCTCGTGGCCCCACTCTTCCACGTATGGACCCCACAGCTCCTCCTGAGCTTCAGCCTGTTTGAGTGCTCCAAACATCAACCAGAGCCTGGAGCTGGGCTCAGCTGGTGGCTTTGGGTGACCACCAATGGGCGACCACCCAACGGTGAGATGGGTGCCTGTTGTTTCTCCAAGGACAATGGGTTTGGGTGGAGACACGTCCAACCAAGGGGTCAATCCCCTGTGGAGTGACCTCAACAACCAGGGCCTGATTTAAAATATTCCCGTGGTCACTTGGGGCCCCACCAGAAAAGAATTTAAAGCCAAAAAAAAGCTTTGAAGGCCACGTTTGGAGAAGTATTTAGAATTAATTTGACTCCTGGACTGGTGACGGGGACGATGGCCAAGAGCAAAGGTCTCCAGAGGGGCCCGAGGTCTCACCTGCAGGAATTCACACGCCGGCTGCCGACACTTCTCCTCCAGCTCCTGGATCTGCTGGCCGAGGGAGGAGATCTCCTCCAGGAGCCCCCTGATGTTCTCCTCCTGCCTGTTCACGATCTCCTGGTCCAGCTCTGCCAGCCGAGCCAGGAGGAGCCGCTCCTGTCCCTCCAGGAAGTGCTGCAGCTCCTGGGTGGCAGCCACGACCTTCTGCCTCTCCTTCTCCACTCGTTCCTGCCACGAGAAGCCTCTGAGGGTCCCCTCCCCGGGGCCAGGGTCTCAGCACCACCCCCCAGACCTTCCCCCCCACGTTGGGGATGGCCCCGTGGAGAAGCTCCTTGGCCACGGCACCCCTGGTGTCTCCACCCACCCCCATGGCCAGCAGGAAGGGGGGGAGGAGGTGACCACCACCCGTGGGTGGACACTCACCAGGAGGTTCAGGCTTCTCCCTTCCTCGGCCGTTCTCAGCCCCAGCAGCTTTTCTCTCCTGTCCTTCAGGACCTGCACGTGCGCCTGGATTTTCTCCTGGGTGGAGAAGAAACTCCTGGATTGGTGCATCATCCTCCAGCTGAGCCATCCCTCCACCCTCATCCCACCTCAGCCAGGTTTGTCTCCTACAAACTCTTCCCTGCTTCATGTCCAGCTCTGGGAACCCCTAAACCCCCATTTCTGGCCAGCAGGACAGGTTGAGTTGTCCCACAACCGAGGGGAAGATTGGAAAAGATTTGGGCAAAGGACCAAACCAGCAGAAAAAGAGCTTCAGATGGTTGGAGAGACCCCAGTGGCGTCTGCTCAGGTTCAGCTGGGTCAGTGCTGGCCCAAAATGTAGAAATTTGGGCCTTTTGCTGGGTCCATCCGCCAAGGAACGTGCTTTTGGTGAGAACCTCCCCTCACAACACCAACCCCAGCACCCCGAGGCCTCATCCTGTCCTGTACCCCTACGTGCAGCACGTCCTGCACCCCAAATGTCCAAGGCAGCAGAGCTGAGGAGCAGGAGGTTGGGTTAGAGCATCTCCTGGGCCCCTCTCCAGCATCATTTCCATGAGGACACCACGATGGAATGGGAATGGAAGCTCCAGGACAGTTGGGGTGAAGCCATGCAGCATCTCCTGCACCCCAAACGTCCCCAGGACGGCGCCTCTGACCTTGCTTGGAGCAAGATGTTGGGTGAGATGATCTCCTGGGCATCATTTTTGTGGGGCCACCATGGGAGTGGAAGCTTCGAGACATTTGGGGTGAGCAGGTCTGAGGTCAAGACATTTGGGGTGACCAGCACCGAGGTCAAGACATTTGGGGTGACCAGGTCTGAGGTCAAGACATTTGGGGTGAACAACAATGAGGTCAAGACATTTGGGGTGACCAGGTCTGAGGTCAAGACTTTTGGAGTGACCACATCCAAGGGGGACCACAGAGCAGGGGTGGGGGTGTCCCTAATGCACCACCATGAGGAAGGGGTAGAAATCCAGCTGCTTGCAGGTGGAGCAACCCCCCAGGGCACCTCCCTGACCCCCT